TGAAACACCTGGACCCCAAGCGCGAGACTCCAAAGAGCCCGAGGAACAAAATCGAAAATCCATCCATCCGGGAGTGGAACCGAGGCCCCCCAAGTTGGCGGGAACCCCCTTTGTGCCCCCTTCAGACTTGATTGCTGGCGACACCCCTCTGCAACAAGCTTTGAACCTTGTTGTGGAATTATGGAAAACCCAATGGATTTCAACGACACAATAGATCCAAGCCAATAGCCATCAAGTTCAATGGACTTCCCGCGCAACTGTTTTCTCATGTGGGTTTTTCGGCCGGGGGCGGTTATAGTCTGGCCAAGGGAGACTTGGGTGGCTCGTCTTTTGTGGTTGCTAATGCCGACCCAGGATTCATAAACCCGCCCCATTAGCTAATGGGTGTGTTCCCTCCAAAAGTGGTCTGAATTCCCACTAAAAGGAAGTGGACACCCGCCTATTCATCAACCAGGGGCTTGTTGATCCGGGGTTCACATTACCCCTCTTCGGTTCAAAACCCGAAGCCTCGAGGTCCGCGAAGCTGGCGCGCGCCGGACGGAACTCCTCCGGCAACCAATCGGTGCCGACTGTGTCACGGCTGGAACCCCTGTTGGATGGGGTTCAACACTAGGTCCTCCAGCAGAGAGGTTGGAATAAGGATACCCACTTCTTTTCTGTAGTCTATTTTAGTAGGGGACCCCCCCCCCAGAAAAGTTGGTCAAAGGGCACTGGCAGAACATCGAGGGGGGCCACTTTTCCAGCGTTGCCATCTTCATGTGTCCAACGTCACATACGCGTGGCCGCATCAAGAATTCTGTCGCGGCAAACTCCCCCGCCGATCGATCCTGTCTGCCGCGTGCTTCCGCCTCACGAAGCCCGAAGCCGGACCAAGCCCAACTCGCGGCCAACCAGTGGCAGCTTTGGGGTGATTCTCGGGGTACCTTCCATGTCCATTCTGAACCCAGGGATTTCCGGATCTTACAAAACCTCCTTTGAAACCCAGGAAAACGGATCCGGTGTTTGGAAAGAACGAGGGTTGAAAAGAAGGGAAAAGGAACCAACCCCAAGAGACTTGTTTCAAACGGAACCAATCTGAAATCAGTGGATCCCGTCTTTTTCCAACCACACCTAAAAAGGACACTAGAGTGGTGGGGGAATCAACCCCTAGAGTGATGGCTAGGCGCTCGGCCAAAGACTTCTGACATTCATTGACCTTCATGTCCAGATGTTGCATCATCACATGCACCTGGCAGAGGCGCTCCCCGCGCTCCCCGCAAAGAGCTTCCATTTGCTTAAGCCCCTGGAACATGAAACAAAAAATCACCAGTAGTGATAGATTCCCTTTAAAACCCAGACGGGAAGAACTAAAAATATATTCTAAGCAAATCGCAAACTAGGGAAATTCGGGCTAAAACATGCGCCACACCCCAGTCTGTAACGTCGATGAGCGTCGATTAGCAAATCCAAGTGTTGCCCCTGAGAAACCAACAGCTGCTGACCCAACCAACCGCGATCCCCCCAAGTCACAAGGAATGAACCACTCAACATGCCCGGCTCCCATGGTTCTCATGTGGCCTTGTCGCCTTGAGGTGTGAGCACAGCTAAGCCCGCCTCGATGGACTCATCGCTGCGAGCCTCCTGCATCTTGGCCACCGACTCTTGCATCCGTTGCCTGGCGAGCTCGTATGCTTGTTTTTGCGCGAGCGAACCTGGCGCCAGCTTGCGAGCCACTTGCGCTGAGGCTGGAAAGACGCACCAAGCGGAATCGCGTCTTGCTATGTGGCGAGCATGATCTTCCAGTTGCTTAAGCCCCCTGAAAAAAAAGGTCCAGTAGTCACAGATTCCCTTTAAAACCAACAGGGAAAAATAAAATATATTCTTAAGCAGATGCATGAAGCATGGCTTTGCTTGAATGCGCTACTTTCAAGGAAGACCCCTCATGGCTCCCTTGACGCCCCACCTCAAGGTCTCCGCGCCATGCACGGTGCGACCCAACCGAATGGAAAGCCAGCCAGGCACACCCTGTCTCTCTGCAAATGCTTGCCACCTGACAAGGGTCTCAAGGCCGCTTTCTTTGTGATCGTTGAAAGGCGCAGACCCGAGGCAGAAGTTCACAAGCTGAGTCTTGATGCTCGAGCGCGACCATCAAACCGACACACTTGGAACCCATGGATCATGGAAGTTCACCGGCTCAGCACGAGCCTCTGCTCTGATCAAGTCTGCGTGGATCTTGCACTGCACTTGGATCTCCTTCCAAAGCTTGCAAAAAGTCACAGCAAATCATGGTTTCCCCCTCCCCCGAAATCAGAGAAAGAATCCTTCTGCTACATGCTTCTGCGCGGGGTTCCGCCCACCCGCTTCTGTCACGTCAGTCCTGCCGCAACTTGTAGAAGGGATCCTCGCTTGACAAGTCTGGGAACCCTTCAGAAGATCAGAAGAGATGGGACCTTAGGCCTAAGCCATTGCTGTTCAAACCAGCAGCACTTTGCCTATTGCTCAAACAAAAAAGGTCTGCCAACATAAGGGACCAGGAAATTTATCGCAAGGGCTGGGTTACAACGAGCAATTCGGCTGTCACTTCAGTTTGCAAGGCTGTCATTTCAAGCAGATAGTCCTAACCCATCCAGGAATGTGTCCAAACCAGGGATCTGTTGAATGGTCAGCTCGGCCAAATTGGGCTCCTACTGTCCACACGTGGGAGACCGCCCGAATTGGGATCCCATGACGGAACATATCGCAGCCAAAGAACTCCTGACACCCCTTAAAGGGACACCAAACTGTTCGAGCAATATTCTCGCAAGCCTGCCAGAGTGTACCAGTCTCCACTGCAGTTGGCCCAGGCCGTGCCCTTTTAGTGGTTGAAGGATTGCGCAGGCAGGTCTCTGCTGATCCTTCTTTTTTTTTTACTTGGCCATGGGTCAAAATCCCGTACCCACAGTGAACATCCCAATCCCCCACTAAAAAAGGTTCTACAATGGGGGTGCACCTACCCCAAAAGTTGGATCCCATTGGTTTTGACCCACAGCAACTTCAGGAAAGGTTGCTGGATAGGCAAGCATCTGCCTGGACAGGGCGTGGCTTCTGCTTAGAACTTGTCCCCGGCCTTGCCCTCTGCGTACGGGTGCGTGCGCCAGCAGTCATGGAGGCTCGAAGGAAGAAGTGTTCTCCCCCATTGCTGTGTGTTTGCTTGTTTGCATGGCTGCGTGTTTGCTTGCTTGCTTGCTTGTGGATTTGCTTGTTTGCTTGTTTGCATAGCTGCGTGTTTGCTTGCTTGCGTGTTTGCGTGTTGGTTTGTTTGCGTGTTTGCTTGTTGCTTGTGGGCATGGTTGCGTGTTTGCTTGTTTGCGTGCTTGCTTGCTTGTTTATTTGCCGGTTTTGTGTCTGCGTGCGTGCGTGCTTCTTTGCTTGTTTGCTTCTTTGTGTGTTTGCTTGTTTGCGTGGTTGCTCTTGATTGATTGTTGCTTGATTGTTTGCTTGTTTGCCAGTTTGCTTGTGTGTTGCTTGTTTGTTTGCTTGTGTGCTTGCTTGCTTGCTTGTTTGCTTGCTTGATTGTTTGTTTGCTTGCTTGTGTGCTTGTTTGCTTGTCTTTCTGCCTGATTGCGTGTTTGCTTGTTTGCCTGTTTGCTTGCTTGCTTGTTTGTGCTTGCTTGATTGTTTGCTTGTTTGCTTGTGATTGCTTGTTTGCGTGTTTGCTTGTTCGATTGTTTGCTTGTGTGGGAGTGTCTTGGTTGCTTGTTTGCTTTTGTGCTTGCTTCTTTGCTTGTTTGTCAGCTTGCTTGTGTGCGTGCTTGCTTGTTTGCTTGCTGGTTTGCTTCTTTGCATGTTTGTTCTTATTGTGTGCGTGTTTGCTCGTTTGCGTATTTGTGCGCTTGCCTGTTTCCTTTTTTGCGTTTGTTCCAATTTGCGTGCTCGCTCGGTTGCTTCCTTGCCTGTTTGCTGCCTTTCTTGTTTGCTTGTTTGCTTGCTTCTTTGCTTGTATATGTGTGTTGCTTGATTGTTTGCTTGTGTTTGCGGTGTTGCTTGTGTTTTGCCGCTTTTGCCTGTTTGCTTGTTTGCTTGTGTGCTTTGCGTCACTTCAGCAAACTCCGATCCGCGACCCAAGGGCTGCCCGGGCCTCTCGATCTTGGCTCAATTCCCTCACAGGCTCCTGCAAGACAGAATGCCTTCAGAGTATATATATATATATCCCTTCAGAGTATATGTATATAATGTGTATAATGTGTATACGTATGTATACATATATATATATGTATGCATATTGATGTATGTAAGAGTCAACATCACCCCCCCCCCCCCAAAAAAAAAAAAGAAAAGAAAAAACTCCCAATATTATGTTGACCCCAGATGAGTGAACCTCTCGTTGATGAAATAATTAGGGGGATGTCGCATTTCAAAGCAAATCCTACGGTTCCGAGTATCCGGGGACAACCTTAGAACTCTACCCTGAACCGAAGGCCTGTTCAACCGAGTCGCTTTGCAAAGTTAGCGAGTGGCAGCAGCGAGTGTGCTTGACAAAGACCACCCGCCAATGCACTTGGAGCCGCCCGTGCTCACTTCTTTGTGACTTCCTTTTCAGGGCAATGGCTAGAGTGGCAGCTTGGCGGAGTATATATAGGCTGCCGCAACAGAAGGCTGCATAACCTACACGGGTAAACCACAAAGAAACAGCCAAAGACATGGATTGTTCCAACAACAAAATGATTTGCATTTGGCCACAACAATGCTGGCTCTCCATGTCAATCGTCAGATCATGTCAATCGTCAGTGCTTTTTGGCTGTCGTGCCAAACCAATTCAAGCCACACACTTTTGCAGATTACAACCCTGTATTGGGGCCGTCCCTACTTCTGGATGCCATGTTGCTATTGGTACTGATGCCAGTCCTGACGTGAGTGGACTGGCCCAAACAAGTCCGAACTCTTTGCCAGCAAGATGCTCATCCCAAAGAGTTTCAATGCCCAGGACCTCAACGAGAGAGAGAGAGAGAGAGAGTCTCTTAGTTGATTTGGACTCTCACTTCTCACTCGATGTCCTGCTTTCCGCTTCCGCCTGGAGTCTCCATGAAGGTCTGCCGGAAAGGCGAGGTGGCCTCAAAAAGGCACACGCTCTCCGTCCAAAGCAACTTTGGATATGCGGGAAAAAAAAAGAAGGAAAACAGAAAACAACACCTTGACATTCACCGACCCCACTTCTAAGTAGTTGGGCACAGGAAAAGAGAAGAAAAAAAAGACAAAAAAACGCTGCCATGCCTCCGCATCACCGGGGCCCTCCGGCGCCCTTTTGGGCCCCGGACGTGCGGGGACTTCGCGGAGGAGGCCTTGCTGGAGGCCACGTAGGTGGACCCGTCCTCGAAGCGGATGGCCCTGGCGCCGGGATTCGAAGTGTTCGTTGAAGTGGCGGTGGCCCATTTCTCTCCGGAAATTTGGGTGTGGCTCAATCTTTTTCAGAGCTGAGGCAAACCGCGGGTTTCAGTCTTTGGCACTCCTTTTACCAGGGTGCCATTTTGGAATTCCGGTGTTTTGAGCCACAGCCATTTGGGCCCCAAGGATTTGTGGGAGGATACCTGGAAGACCATTTTCCTCTTGTAGGCACTCCCTATCAGGTCCACGTTGGTGGGAGGGCAGGGCTCAGGGTTTAGGGTTTGAGGTTTGGGGTGGGTCTGCAATTTTTAGGCCCCAACGATTCTCTGCTTTGCAACGAGTTTTGGGGCTCAGACCACTGGGGGCTGATATAACCACCATTGTTTCCCGTTTCGCTAGGACAAGTGTCCGGGTTGAACCAATGTTGGTGAGGGGATGGGACTTGGTGTGAAGTTATGAAATTCTGAAAGAATGGAGGGGGAAATGAGGGAGCCTCAACTGCTCCAGGCTGAGTATGGCCAGTGGGAAGCAAACAAAGCAACGAGCTACCATATTATGGGGTAGCATTTCGATCTGGATTCGCTGCCGGTCTGGCTGCACAATCTCGCCCCGTCCATTACAGCATGTTGTTTAAGCAACAGTGAGAATTAAACCACGATTGAAACTGGGCTGTCCTCAGATCCCCCGCTCAAAGTGTAGCTTGTCGGCGAAATTCGGAAATCCAACCACTTAACACTAAAAAGATCTAAGCTGCGGAACCAGATGGCTGGTTCCGATCCACCAAGTTTCTAGGGGTTGATTCCAACCATTCTTTTCAACCATCGTTCTTTCCAAAAACTGGATCCGTTTTCCCTGGGTTTCAAAGGAGGTTCTCTAAAAAGATCCGGATCCCTGGAAAGAATGGACATGGAAAGTACCCCTAGAAAGTTGAAAAGAATGGAAATGGAAAGTACCCCTAGAAAGTTGAACAAGGGCGCGGCACCTCAAAAGCCCCCGCACCTCACAAGCCCTCGCCTGCTGAAGTCCTGCGGCACGTACCTCCGCCCCACGATGTTCTTGTACACCCCGTGGTGATTCTCCAGCGAGGCCGGGGGCGCGTGCTGCGCCGGGGGCGGGACCATGGCGAAGTTCACCGGTACCTGCAGGTCTTCCGGAGCCAGGTGTCCACTTAGGTCCTCCAGTAGAGAGGTTAGAGTAAGGGTCGCCTTTATTCTGCAGTCTATTTTAGGGGAACCCTCCCCAAAAAAGGGGTGAGAAAGGGCACTACTGGGGGGCCTAGTATGGGTCAGAATTAGTCACCACCAGGAATCGGACTGCAGGGAGCTCATGTCTCCATTCACCAAGGCAATCCATTTTGGGTACCTATTCTTGGGGTGAAGTTGTGAAGGAAAGGGGCTAATCACCTTACCCCTAGTTGGTGGTTTAGAGTGGGGAAGGCTCTGCGCACGGGAACCCTTGATTCATTCTCATGGCCAATATATTCATTCGGCCAAACGCAACCAATCCTTTTGGCAAATCAGGAAACTCATTTGCTGGCCAAAAGAAAGTTGTCAGCTACAAACAAGCAAACAAACAAACAAACAAACAAACAAACACACAAACACACAAACACAAACAAACAAACACAAAAAAACAAGCAAGCAAGCAAGCAAGCAAGCAAGCAAGCAAGCAAACAAACAAACAAACAAACAAACAAACAAACAAACAAACACACAAACACACACAGACACACAGACACACACACACACACAGACACACAGACACACAAACACACAAACACACACAAACACGAGTATGGCGTCGACCGGCAAACCGGACCGGTGAACCGCCCGCCCCCCCCCTCCCGGTTGGCCGGTTGGCCGGTTGGCCGGTTGGCCGGTTGGCCGGTTAGCCAGTTGGCCGGTTCGGTTTGCCGGTTGGCCGGTTGGCCGGCTGGCCGGTTGGCCGGTTAGCCGGTTCGGCCGCCCGGTTACCCGGTTGACTGGCGAACCGGCAACCGGCCGCCCGGCGAACCGTCAAACCGACAACCGGCAAACCGGCGAACCGGCCAACCGGCGAACCGAATCGGCCACCGGCCAACTGGTCAACCTGCCAACGATCCAGCAAACCGGCAACCGGCGAACCGAACCGGCCAACCGACCGGCTAACAGGTTAACCGGGCAACCGGCCAACCAGCTAGCCAGCCAAACCGGCAAACCGGCTAACCGAACCTGCCGGCCAACCAACCGGAACCAGCTGAGCGGTCAGCCGAACTAGCTAACCGGCTGACTGGCCAATTGGCTAGTGGAACCGGCTAACTCGAGTCGGTCAACCGCAAGCCGACCGGTCAAGTATTCACTAACCGGCGAACTGAAATGGGCAGCCGGCTGAGCGGCCAGAAAACAAACCGAACCAGCTTGCAGGCTGACTGGCCGGCCGAGCGTCTGAACTAGGTGACCGGCTAGCAGGCCGACAAAGCAATCCGCACGGAAAAACAATGGGCATAAGGTTGAAAGGGAAACCTGGGTATTGTTTTTTTGAGGTTCAGGCTTTGTACATTGCTAGGGAGATTACGTTGGGATTTTTTAGAAGAAAATATTTTGTATTTCTATTTCGGTCGGTGTTCGCGTGTTTCTAAATCCTATCGCTCCACAAGGCTTTCCACCACCAATGCCGTTCTTTTTTTCGCATGTCATCATGTTGACGGTCTGGGCATCCATGGGCCATGCGACCCCCGATAAATGAAGCATCCAGAGTTGCCCTTGCCCGATGCGTTTCCTGAAGGCGTAAGACCTCCTTCCCAACAAAAGTCCATGATGCGAGGCGCCGGGCTGGCTCGAAAAAAACGGGGTCTTGATATGAGACAGCCGGCCATGGGATGTATTAGTCGCAGTATGGAAACAACATGCTCGTGCGTGCCTCAAAGTACGCGATGCGGAGTACATGTTCCGCAGCAGTGAAACAAGCCGTGCGTTTGCGTCAATCGCAGAGATTAAGCAACGTACTCTGCTTCGCAGACGTGTTGACACGAGATGCAAACGCAAGGATCCGCACTGCCGTCATTCGACCTGTCAACACTGCGTGACCGGTATGTGGCTCGCAACCAGACCATGCTCTTGGTGGTTGTAATGATTTGGACATATATATATATGAATATATACCTGTCTACATACAGACATACAAACATATATATACACATATCACATGAAGAGTCAGAATAATAAGATGAAACGGAATAGCACAAAACGAACTTCAGGTAGGTACAACAATGCAAACATTATTGTGTATACGTATATATATATATATGTGTGTAATATACAACTACATGTATATATATTGCTTATGTATATATTGCTTATGTATATATTGCAATAATTTCCTACATTATTGCAAGGCATACTCATTCTGCCATTTGTTTCCTGAAGCAAAATGTTGAAACTGCAAAGTAGATGCGGGCACGCTTAAACGCTTAAACATAGAGATAAGCTAGGGGGGCAAAAACTTTTGGCCTCTAGGTTGTATATATACAACTACATACATACATATATATTGCTTATGTATATCTTGCAAATATTTTCATTCATTATTGCAGAGCACATTCATTCTATCAATTTGTTTCCTGAAGAAAAAATGTTGAAGCTGCAAAGTAGATGCGGGCACACTTAAACGCTTAAACATAGAGACAAGCTCGGGGGGCGGAAACTCTTGTGCACCCACCTCTGGGCTAGGGGGTCATAAGTTTAATCCACCCTTTTAACTTTGTCTCTGACCCTCTTTAGTCTTCTGAAAGTGACTCTAAGCGTCAACCTTCGGCATGCTATTGTTATGAAAGCGCATTATCACCACAAAGTGGCTTTGCAAAGTGGCTTCGCCTGTGTCAATGCTACTAAGCTACGCGAAATGCTTCGCGGGTCTTTGCGGCGCACAATATATCACACAAGTGCCTTCGCGGACCTTTTGAGTGTGTTCCTCCCGACCCACCGTTTGAGCTAGATAAATACATCCGTTGGCAACGCAGGGTAAATGAATTTTGTTCCTTGCCTTGCACAGGGCGCAGCCCAACTGCGCGCTGCGCTACGCAGGTGTTCCCGGCCTTGTGGACTTGGCTTGAAGCATGTACGATACGTGAGAAACGCGCAAGGGTTCGGGGCCTGCGAAAAATGAGGACGCAGAGACGAGAATATTCCGAATCAAGCCCATGCAGTGGACGACACGCATAACCCTCGCGAGGACATGCAACACCAATGCGAAACGCAGTAACTGCGCAGGCAATCATGTTGCCCCGGCCGGCAATTACTGTAGACAGCGCGTCGACAAAGGCTTCGCTTCGAGAACAACAACACCAACACCCACACCCACTACACCCACACCCACACCAACACCAACACCAACACCAACACCAACACCAACACCAACACCAACAGCAACAACAACAACAACAACAACAACAACAACAACAACAACAACAACAACAACAGCAACAGCAACAACAGCAACAGCAACAGCAACAGCAACAGCAACAGCAACAGCAACAGCAAAAGCAGCAGCAACAACAACAGCAGCAGCAGCAGCAGAAGCAGCAGCACCAACACCAACACCAACCAACACCAATGTCAAGAGCGCAAGATGACGTCCCGTGGGGCGCTGTCCACCAAGCTTCCAGCTGAATGTACTCAATCACGTGGTGAAGATATACGGCTAAACCGATACAGCCAAACCAGTGTAAAATGTTGTAAGGGTGTTCTTCAATACCCACACACGTTCGAGATCAGCAGCGCGATCGCACCTGTTTCCTCTCACTCGGATCGAACACAGGTAAATGCAAGTCCATGCAAGACCATAAGCCCTACTTGAGTCTTGAGCCAAAGGTGGCATCCATTGGAACACTTCAACCAAAGAGAACATGGACATCAGAACGGCTTCCCAATTTAGGCACGGGGCCAGGAGGGTTTTAACATCCCCCATTTGGGTCGCACTGTTCATCATTCGGCCCAAACATCACAACAAGTCCCAATCGTCACGGCTCGGACTACGAAACTGTGTCGAAATACTCTTTCATTCACAATTGTACCGCCATCTATTCTTTGTGAAACTCAGCCGGGTGCGATTAAATCAAAACTCGTGCATCCGCAGACCACAGTACGCTCCTATACACAGAGACATGAGGCATTATGCCTCGTACCACAATGCAGTCGTTGAAGATCCCAGCTGCCGTATTTGCGCATCACGCAGCTGTCATCCACCGAAATGGGTTGGCCAAAGAACTTCACAACAGCGCGTATGCAAAAAATAGCCATCCCAGATACCACGAATAATATAAGGAAATGAAATCATCCATAAGGTGTCCATCCGGGATGCCATAGTCGTCGGAATATGTAGATATATACATAGGCATGTTCCTTGGACAAACGAAGTCACTGCACATCGCAATTTATTACATCGTAGTGAAATCAACATGCTGCTGGCGATGGATGGGGACTGGCCCGCACCATGCCGCATAAGCAACGATGATCCACTTCTGCATCACACAGGTCGGTCCACAATGGCCAGCCTAGTGATACGTCGACGGAATTCTTCGTTCAAGTTGTGTTGGGCGTCCCGGGCTCGGACGTACTTCTTGTAGTGCTCGTTCGCAAGCCAATGTCCTTTCCAGCTTCGACACCTTAGACACGCAGCCACACTCAGCCACGCCAAACTGCAAGCGCCGGACTATGCTGTCAATCCCATGGCATCTGCCCCGGGTCACCCTGGAAGCGCTGTCAGCTCACAAGTGAAGGGCGTAAAACACAAGTGAGTCGAGCACGCAGGGGTACACGTCCGGCAACTTGTCCAAAGAGGAAGAGAACGAATGGGACTACCGCGACAATGACATGACTGCGCGCGACATCATCAACTCCCAACGGATAGCAATCTGCTTGGATGAGCCACGGGAGGCTCAATATATGGCGGGGTTCATTGCGCTGCAGATGTCAAGGATGTGGGGGATGTTTGAGGCTGGCGACAAGCGAACGACTGACGCCGCACTCAGAGGGGCTCCCGCATGTCCATATAACAACGACTTGGCGCGCTATCCCAACGTCACTGTGCTTGATCGTGCTGGTATTGTTTGGCCATCTTCTGAGGAAGAAATATCTCGTTCTCAGAGTGTTCGATCAAGGAC